CCCCCCCACGCCACATTCCCCCCTCCCTGATATCAACCCGAAGGCATTCTTCCATTGCCAATTGACTTGGGTTCCAGGATGGGCTTGCTTCAGACGAGTGGGCAGGCAGTGATTTGGGCCCCAAAGCATTCTCCCCCCAGTGATGGGGAGATTCTGGGATGAGGGCCAGAATCGCAGAGCCCTGTCTGCAGAACACTAAAGCAGTTTCAGAGCTCAGCCATCAGGCTGGATTAAGAGGGATAAAGAAGGGCTCACAGAAGGTGAAAGAAGCAAGGGTAGGAAGAGAAAGTGGCCCAGAGTCTTGCAGACAGGCACAAACTATCCCCCTCCTTCCATGGTGCTAGGTGAGTTAATCCGATGTAGTGGTTTCCCATCCAGCAGATTTAGTTTAATTTGAATCCAGTGGTCCTGAAAAGGTGAGAAGACTGCTGACCCGCGCTAAATGGCCCCAGGTTTGCCTAAATGGCCCCAGGTTTGCCTCACCTATTGGAGGAGGGAAGGAGAAAGTGAATGAACACCGTAAGGCACCAAGAACATCAACCACCCCAACATCCAGCCAGCTATCTGGCTGGAGAACTGTCAGCCACAAAGGGTGTCTTTGGTACAATCGAGTCTCCTTTGTTGGGATTTTAAAGTAATGCTGTAGCAGCAGAAGAGGATTTTAGGGTTCTGGTTCCAAAGACAGTTCTAAAATAAGAAATGAGCAAGTGGGAATATCCTCCTCTTCTTCCAAACACCGAAGGGACGGATGTCTGTGAGAAACTTGAGCCCCTGAATCTGAGGCCCCTGGCTTGATGGATGGATCCAGTTGGTGACATTCTCCTTGAAAGGACAAGCTGGGTACCTGCCCGTGAAAGCTTAAAAGACTTGCCTGGGTCCTTAACGTTGCCCAAGTGGGAAGAACTGGGAAAGAGAGAAAGAAATTAGGCCTCAGTGATCATCCAATCACTGGGTCTCAAACAAAAAGTAAGGGGATCGCTAACAGTTTTTCCAGCCTCATTTGACTTTCTACACTTGTCAATCACACAATCTGGCATTTTGAAAATGGAGAGGTTATGAGTAGAGATATTGAGTTACTATTCCTTATTGCTGACAAGAGAACCGGTATGGCCACAGAGCAAAAGGAAAGGGGGAGAGGGGGAGGGGGCGGATTACCAGTTCTGGTAAGAAGGATATATCTGGCATATTAACAATAATATATTTTGGAAATTATGTTTTAAAATAATCGAATGACCAAAAGTTGTTTCTCTACTCTGGTCAAGCTTACAGCCCAGATCGGTGAATTCCACTGCAGAATTGTTACTTTATTGTTTACAATGTTCATTTAGACTATATCATTGGGACTCCATGGTCCATCCAGAGCACTGAATGAATGGATCATACTTTACCACTCCAATCCACTAACATCCTTTGAAATGAAAGCATAAAAATAACAATTACAAATGCAAAAGGCATAACAGATCATTCTGGTATTTTTAGTGGTGGCAGACAGCTGTCTAAAACCACAACGGTGTGGTGGTTAAAGTGTTGGAGGAGGACTAGGGAGACTTAGGTTCAAGTTCATCATCAGCCAAATAAGTTCACTGGCTACTTAAGGCCAGCCGCTTTCTCTCTCTCCGCCCAACCTACATCACAGGGTTGTTAGTGTGAGGAATAATTAGAGGACTAAGGGCTATATTCACCACCTTCATTGTTGAAGAAAAGGCAGGATGAAACTCCTGAAAATAAAGTGGTCCTTTCTGCAGTACAGGTAGTCCCCGGGTTAAGAATGCCTGGTTTAAGGACGACCCACGGTTAAGAACGGAGCCTATTGTAGCAACTTTCGAGTTAAATAGACGATTCAAATTAAATACGCAATGGTTTGCGTTAATTACACAATACTACTTATACAGTATTATACAATACTACCATTATACAATACTACCATTACATACAAATTTGACTTAAGGACAGACCTTGGGAACAGAACTTGTTCTTAAACTGGGGGCTACCTGTACAGAGAACTCGTATGTCATCTTGAAAAACCACAATGGCTGCAGAAATGGCCCCAGAAATTCCTCCTCCACCAAAGTCCTGCTTGTTTTCAGATGCAGACAACATAAAGAACCTTCATTAGCCTAGTCAAACCACCTTTATCTCTGTCTGGCAGGGACTGGAGTGATACTCTGGTTAATCAAAAGGAGAAGCTGCTAAGCACAGGTCCCTCCAGAAGAACCTTCAGAACCTCCAAGTCACCTCCTGAAGTTCTGAACTTTATATAACATTTGATTCTGGGCAGAAATGGCTTGTTTCTCTCAGTGCAGCTTCCCTGAAAGTCACTTCACTAATTATTCCTGCAAGAGCATCTCTGGCTTCTTGGTGGCTCCTCTCTACCACCAGCTGCTGATTCCTTTCTGGAATTAATAGTATGGCTTTGCAGCTGCTTCAGCTCACCATGGAGGACAGAGAGGAGATTCTTCCAGCCACCCACCATGGCCTGCCTTGCCCCAGTCAGCAGGATGCACTGGGTGTTTCACACATTCTTGAAGACAGACAGTGGTTGGAAGATTTCCCACATGCAAAATTTGATGTGTTCTACTACTACTAGAGCATAGAAGCTGTGGCCCTGACTTGCCACCCTTTGCCAAAGCCTCCTGGGCACAATCTCCAGACTCTGTCCAAAAGTTGTTGCCAAGCTGTACTTTAAAATGTGACAAAAGGAGAAAAGCATTAAGCATTTGAAGTGTGTTTAAGTTTGTGTCAATTAACTTTATTCTTGGTAACTACCTGGAAATATCCATGTAGTTTTCTTCACAATAGCATGGAAGTGTTTACCATTTCCTTCTTGTGGGAATGTCACTCCGAAGCTAAGTGCAAACCTCACCCTAAAAGAAAATATTTGCACACCCCTGCCCTGAACAAAAGAAACTCGAGTTCAAATTTCTGCTCATTCCCTAGCCAAGACTCCCTCAGCCTCCCTATTCCCTGGTCTGTAACACGGGAGCCAGGGTTAATGGCTATAAAGAAAAAATAATACTGTAATTCCTGATAGTTCTTTTATGGGTTAGAGATCTGCAGGGTGTCCTGTGGAGACAAGTCTTTGCTACTGTCACTTTATTTTTAGACTACAGCAAACATATCAATTTCATTGGATGGGGAGATCCAAAACCCAATCCCTTTCTAATGGCTGCAGAGGTGAGAACAGTTGGTCTGGAATACTATGGGTTGGCTGGTTCATTCATTTGAACTTGCCAAGGTTCACGGGAGTAACAGAGACAATGAAGGGCTGGGTGATACTTTGACAATCAACATGTTGATTATGGAACAGCATTTACATTATTATTGCCAAGCACATCCTTGTCATCCAGGAATCAAGCTGGAAGAATATTTTCAGAAAAATATTCAAAAATATTTGTTTTTTAATGAGATGCGCGGTGACAAATTTGATATATAAATAAAATAAATATATAAAAAATATTTTACCATTCCATCAGATGCACAATAAATGGATGACCAATGCTAAGGGACCACTTGGTTGGGTACACTACTTGGTTGTTAGTTACAACTACATAATCCATAAAACTTACATACCTACATAGTGGCTAACACTCTACAACTCCAACTGCCAAAGCTGGGCATACATGCTCCA